GTTCACCGGCTGTCACCTCCAGCGGAATGTCGTGGTTGTTCGTCCCCTTCTTGACTTCAGTTATGCTCCAGAATTTGGGTGGGTTTTGTGTACATATTCATTTTACAGACCCGTCTTATTTGTATACAGACTGTTGGGTTTTCGCTTCTCATGCGACTTGGAAGAAACAAATCCACCTCCAGTCAGTCGGCTGAGTTGGCTTTTACGACATGATTGTTGGTGGCAGCTGGTTTATCCATCCCCTTTCTACACATTTGATCCTCACAATCCTATATAACACTCCATTTTTTTAATCTCTCCTCCACACATGGGATCTTCACAACTGTTCAATTCTCTACACTTCTAGTCACCCACGGCGTCCTTGGCTTTGGCGTTGCAAGTCCGACTGGTAATTTCAACTTACCGCGATCGAAACCCACTGTTGCTGCGTAGATTTTTATCATGGAATGGGGCTTTGCAGGTTGAAATAGCCTAAATGGGTACCAGGATGTATGTCCTGGGGAAGTAAAGACGGCCGGCGTAATGCTGATCACATTACCCACCTAGTGCCGATTGGTCTGTAAAAATATGGGATGCTCTTTCTATATGCCTGATGTGTCTAAGGCGCGAAAAAGGATCTTTACTTTTACTTGTTTACTTCTAGTCCCCCCCCCCCCTTTTTTTTTTCTCCACCCTCAGCCCCAATAAATAAATAAAGTTCGTTCTCTCTCCCACGCATTTGACTCTCACAATCCTGTAACACATTCTGCATGTCTAACCTGTAATCTTTCATACACACATTTCTCACATTCTTTTCTTGTAATCTTTCATCTTTTCTACATAATTTCATCAGCACATTTGTATGTCTTCACGAACCAACAGATGTAGAATGTTGACATTTTACATTTAAATCAGTTAACCCCGCCTCAGTTTACCTGGTGGGTTTTAGCAGCCTTGTGTCTTTACATATATCATAGGCGCCTTGAACCGCCCTCTACCCCTAGAAAATGTTACGGTGGATAAGCCGCTCCCCCCGCCCCTCTCAGGCGCCCCTCAGTGATGTCTTTTTGTCGGCGCTTATTACATATATAAACATTATCATCATGTAGCAGGTCCTTTGCATAACGTTGCTCCCATCACATTCTGCTTGAAAGAAACTCAGTCTCTCCCCAGCTCTCCCACCTCATGTACTTTCATATTCAGGGAGTCACTTATATCCTGTGCCCATCTTCGTGTTGGTCGACTTATGCCCCTCCTTCCTGGTACCATGCGTTCGGCTATTATTTTTTTTCCAATCCGCCATCGCGCATGCTAACATATACATGAAGAATTTCCATATATGTAACAGACAGACAATGTATTGATCGCCATTCATATGAAGAAATAGAAATGTCGAAGAACACACTAGACAACATACAAATCGAAAGCTATAGTTACCGTGCCGGGAATCGAACCTGTCCCTTTTAAATGTCGTGTGCGCCTCGCTTTAGAAACAAGTGTACTAAGATACCCGATCAACTAGGCACCCCCAAAAAGCTGTTTTTATTGTTCATGTCTATCATACAGCTAGAATTCCACAACTGGGGAATGCGATCAGAATTCGTCTCAAACCATTGAAATGGCACCGTAGTTTTCATACGTTTATATTTACCAATCATAGGTCGAATAACAAACACAACTTCAAATATAGACATATCGGACCGTTATGTCTATAACTGAAACTGTGTTGTGTGTTCTTCTATCTTTCTACTTCTTTCTGTGAGTGCCAATCATACAGTGCCTCTTTATAATATATAGTGCGTCTAGAATACAACGAACATTTAAGAAAGAGATGTGATTGGTCGGTTCCAGTGTGTTAGCATAGTTCATATAAATAAACAGAGGGGGAACCCTTTAGGAGGGAGAAACACTATATATAATAAACAAAGAGGTATTGATTGGCACTCCCAGAAAGAAGTAGAAAGATAGAAGGACACACAAGACAACATAAAATTCGAAAGCTATAGTTACAGTACCGGGAATTGAACCACAGATTCCATGTTTGGGTTCGAAGGGCCTCATCTTCTGGTTGAGAAATTAAGAAAACGGGACTAAACAAACCTACTTCGGTAGATACACAGCCTAACAAGTGACAGTGTGGTCTATGTGTTACATTGAAAAAGTTTTAAGATGTGTGCTTCATTACTTGTTGGTGTTAGCCGTGTTGTACTGCAATTAGGCAATCACATCGAAAAATGTCGTGCATTCAATTTCAAAATTTACTGTGAATGTTCTCATTAATTAAATTCACACCGGAAAATATTGTTTTGAAATTCCTAAACGTTTCCACTTTCGTGCTCTAATTTCCAGTATGAGCTACATAATATTATCTGTAAATTCCTGTATATTTCTACTTGTCCCTCTAATTTCCAGTATGAGCTACATAACATTATCTGTAAATTCCTATATATTTCTACTTGTACCCCTTATTTCCAGTATGTGCTACATAATTTTGTCTTGAAATTCCTATATATTTCTACTTGTCCCTATAATTTCGAGTATGTGCATCTCAATACATTATTTTTTAAACCCCAATATATTTGTACTTTTTCAATTTATAGTATTGGTTACTCAGCATTGTTTAGAAATTCCTACATATTTCTACTCGCTACCCTCAAATGTTTAATATATGTTACTCAGTACTGATTTGAAATTCATAAAGATTTTGGTTTCTTTCCCTAATTTCCACCATCTGCTTCTCAATACCTGGGCGTTGTTTTCGCATGTTATTTGAGTGATCGTTAGGCATCGCCATAGATTTATTTTTACCGTTGGCAGATAGAATCCGTACATGAAATCCGTGTTGCTAATTCCTGTTCTGACGTCATAGATATGTATCAGGCACAAAATAACCGCTATGTGATGGCGATTGCCGGGGAGGGGAGGGGGATTTAGTTTACACAAGGGATTGAGATTAGTGGGGAATTCCTGATCCTTCTCAGGGAAGTTTTGAAACGAGGTTTCTCAGAGATCAGTTCGCTTGCTTGGCGGCTGGGTAAGACTGTGTTCGAATCTTCATTGATATTGCTTTAAAAACAATAACAGTTAATCTCCATTGTTGGGAGGTCCTGTTTGAAAGTTAGCATTAGGAAATGTTTTGGGAAATAAAGATATTGACGATTTTTTCCCATATGAGATTGATCATTAAATATATACTGCGTGCAACTGCCTCTCAGTGCGTCCATAGATACGGCAATGTTTTTTACTTTGTCTGTCTGTCTGTCTGTCTATTCATCTGTCCATGTATAAGCTTGTCCACCTACGCAGCTAATTACTTACATACTTTCTCACGCACCTAACATGTGAAAGCTACTAGTTACTAGTACTGTACCACGATACTAGCTGAGCGTGCAACTTCTCCAATATCCAGCCACATGAAAAAATATCACGTATTATCCTCTCCAGTGTGATCATTACCTGCCAACGCTTACAGTGATATTCAAACAACTGTACTGGGTAGAATTTAATAGAAAACAAAAATAACCTGTCAGCCCCATAGGACATATAACAACCCAACAGGAGGATGATAACACTTCATGCCGGTGTGATGTTGACAACGCCAACCACCTAGTGACACGTGGTATACAAATTAAATCTAGCTGGATATGCCCTTTAAGAAATGTATGGGCAACCAATAGTACCAACAGGTATAAGACCGAAAAGATGTTCCTGTATTGGACACATTCTAAGGGGGAAAAACAAGCAGAAAAACACTAAATAGGCACTAGAATAGGAAATGAAGGGATTAAGGAGGCTAGGACACCCAAAAGAAACCCTAAAACGAACGTTGATGAGAGAGGCCAAAGCTCCTGGAATGGGCTCCGTTCGTGATATTGAATTGATTGCACAGGACAGATCAATCAAGCAATAAACTGCGAGCCCTATGTAACACATTATCAGGGCCAGATTAACCGTTAAGTACACTAAGCCCGTGCTTGTTGCATTGCGAAGGAAAGGGCACCACAGAAATGTCTAATAGCTAAGCGTTTATTGTCTCATTTGAAGTATATTTTAAAATCATATCAGAACAAAAAGTGCAACAAGGCAGGCTGGATGCCTTTTCTCTGATAGGTATGGAAGCAGACGTGTTACATAATGTTAGATTTGAAGATAAAAGACTTTGCAATTAAAAAACAATAGAAAGAGGAGGTTTCTTTAATGTAAGTAAAGTAGTAGCATACTAAATATGAATTATTGTGCATTATAATGAAAGTTTGGTTTAATGTCGATGAATACAGTTTTATTTTATGTTAAAAAAAAATGTTTTTTAAAATATACATTAAAAAAAAATATTTTGAATTACGCGTAAATGTATAGGAGCACAAGTGCCGACGAATAGCAGCTGGCCGAACGGTTAGAACGCTGGATTCATGCAGGAGACCCGGGTTCGAATCCTCATTAAGGCTGGGATTTTTCCTGTCGGGCAAATTAAAGTTCTCACCTGCACATTCGTTTCGACAGCACTAGCCATGCGGCCGTCAATCCTCAGACTGCTTCTGCCTACACCGCAGAAGTTGTGTAAACAAGCCATAATTGGCAGTTTTTTTTTTTTTTTTTGGCAGTGCCGACTTAACGCATGAGCCTTCTGGGCACTTGCACAGGACTTTCCCTGATCTGTGTGTGTTAAATGTCCGTTTGCATTTCATCCTTGTGTGTGGTTGTATTGGGCGCCCCTAGAAAACTAGTTTACACAGGGACCCATAAGGCTGAATAGACCGTTCTTGGGGAAAAAGTGGGAGGAAGGCACCAACATCTTTTAAGTGCTTAGGGCATAACAGGATCTTATCTGGCCCTCCAAGTAGTGGCACAACGGGACAGTGGCGATAATGATGCCAGATAAGCCACTAACAAGAACGTTCTTTTAATTTCTCAACCTAAGGGCAGTAACTGCTTCAGCCGTTATTATAAATAAATATAATTGTTTTCCTCCCCTTGTTTAGGTATACCACAGACATTTACAATTATTTCTCTTTCTCTTGCAGACGCTCAGCAGACGTTCAATCTTTTCGATAAGAAAGGTGACGGGACGATAAGTACGAAAGATTTAGGTCAAGTGTTTAAAAGTTTGGGCTTGCAAGTTGACGGGCAGAAGTTGAAGGAGTGGGCAGATGAAGCTGACGAAGAAGGTATGTGTATAGGAACACACTGTTCATTTAACTGAGAACTTAATTTCGTAGTAATCTGGTATACAGTGTGAACACTAAGAAAACAAAGAATATCCAATGCGAACACCGAGGGAACAAAGTAGATTTAAGGCCTACACTGAGAAAACAAAGTATATCTATTGTGAATACTGGGGGAACAAGGTATAGGAACACTAAGTATTTTTAAGGCCTACACTGAGAAAACAAAGTATATCTATTGCGAATACTGGGGAAACAAGGTATAGGAACACTAAGTATTTTTAAGGCCTACACTGAGAAAACAAAGTATATCTATTGCGAATACTGGGGGAACAAGGTATAGGAACACTAAGGAAACAAAGTATTTTAAAGGCCTACACTGAGAAAACAAAGTATATCTATTGCGAATACTGGGGGAACAAGGTATAGGAACACTAAGGAAACAAAGTATTTTAAAGGCCTACACTGAGAAAACAAAGTATATCTATTGCGAATACTGGGGGAACAAGGTATAGGAACACTAAGGAAACAAAGTATTTTAAAGGCCTACACTGAGAAAACAAAGTATATCTATTGCAAATACTGGGGAAACAAGGTATAGGAACACTAAGTATTTTTAAGGCCTACACTGAGAAAACAAAGTATATCTATTGTGAATACTGGGGGAACAAGGTATAGGAACACTAAGGAAACAAAGTATTTTAAAGGCCTACACTGAGAAAACAAAGTATATCTATTGCGAATACTGGGGGAACAAGGTATAGGAACACTAAGGAAACAAAGTATTTTAAAGGCCTACACTGAGAAAACAAAGTATATCTATTGCGAATACTGGGGGAACAAGGTATAGGAACACTAAGGAAACAAAGTATTTTAAAGGCATACACTGAGAAAACAAAGTATATCTATTGCGAATACTGGGGAAACAAGGTATAGGAACACTAAGGAAACAAAGTATTTTAAAGGCATACACTGAGAAAACAAAGTATATCTATTGCGAATACTGGGGAAACAAGGTATAGGAACACTAAGTATTTTTAAGGCCTACACTGAGAAAACAAAGTATATCTATTGCGAATACTGGGGGAACAAGGTATAGGAACACTAAGGAAACAAAGTATTTTTAAGGCCTACACTGGGATAACAAAGTATATCTATTGCGAATACTGGGGGAACAAGGTATAGGAACACTAAGGAAACAAAGTATTTTAAAGGCATACACTGAGAAAACAAAGTATATCTATTGCGAATACTGGGGAAACAAGGTATAGGAACACTAAGGAAACAAAGTATTTTAAAGGCATACACTGAGAAAACAAAGTATATCTATTGCGAATACTGGGGAAACAAGGTATAGGAACACTAAGTATTTTTAAGGCCTACACTGAGAAAACAAAGTATATCTATTGCGAATACTGGGGGAACAAGGTATAGGAACACTAAGGAAACAAAGTATTTTTAAGGCCTACACTGGGATAACAAAGTATATCTATTGCGAATACTGGGGGAACAAGGTATAGGAACACTAAGGAAACAAAGTATTTTAAAGGCATACACTGAGAAAACAAAGTATATCTATTGCGAATACTGGGGAAACAAGGTATAGGAACACTAAGGAAACAAAGTATTTTAAAGGCATACACTGAGAAAACAAAGTATATCTATTGCGAATACTGGGGAAACAAGGTATATGAACACTAAGTATTTTTAAGGCCTACACTGAGAAAACAAAGTATATCTATTGCGAATACTGGGGGAACAAGGTATAGGAACACTAAGGAAACAAAGTATTTTTAAGGCCTACACTGAGAAAACAAAGTATATCTTTTGTGAATACTGGGGGAACAAGGTATAGGAACACTAAGGAAACAAAGTATTTTTAAGGCCTACACTGAGAAAACAAAGTATATCTTTTGTGAATACTGGGGGAACAAGGTATAGGAACACTAAGGAAACAAAGTATTTTTAAGGCCTACACTGGGATAACAAAGTATATCCAATGCGAAAACCGAGGGAACAAAGTAGATCTAAGGCATACACTGAGAAAACGTATATCAATGCAAACACTGAGGGAACAAAGCATATCCAAAGCAAACACTGAGCAGTAGTACCTACACTTTGATTCACCCATCGGATTCTATTGTATTAACATATTTGTTTTTACAGTCTCTGACATTTACGTCCTGTCTTGAGCTGGGCAAACTACGGGACATAAATTTGCCTAGAAAAACCACAACAGCCACACACACAAATATGCTATGGTTGGTTCCGCAATGTCCTGTGAAGGATACGCACCTAACTCGAGCTAGGACATACAATTTTGAATTCATGGCTATTACTGATGTTTTAAAGAGCTGTTCTACCGGTTTGAGAGACAGCCCATTCATTATCACTTCTTGTTTGAAGTTGTCCTTTAGAAGCTGAAGATGAACCAACACTGGGTTTGTGGTGGAAACTAAGGAAATGCTAATTTCACTAGTTTATCAGCTACTTTATTTGCTGCCATTACCAGCGATATCTTATACCGTCACTAGACGTAAGAAAGCGAATGGACACTGCCCAGGCCAACGCACTGTTGTACACCACTTCTAGTTTTGTAGCCACTACGGTTGATATTGCTGCTGCTGTACAACCACCACCACTACTACCACTGCTGCTGCTGCTGCTACTGCTGCTACTACTACTTCTACTGTACTACAGCTACAACGATTACTACTATTGTAACAACTCTATACAGTAGTGCTTCGCAACCTTTTTCTGTGCCAGCTATTCCCCCTCCCCCCCCCACCCCCTCCCTCCCTCCCCCAATCAAGCTTTTCTATAATTCTCAAGTCCCTATGGACATTGCTATAAAGTTGACGTAAAATTAAACTCTCAATGAGTCCATTTCAGAACTAATTCCACATGTTGGTAAACACTGCTATACTATATATATATATATATATATATATATATATATATATATATATATATATATATATATATATATATATATATATATATATATATATATATATATATATATATATATATATATATATATATATATATATAATTAGTTATATACAGGCCACAATTTTGTGTCCAGCTAATGTTCTGTGATTGCTTCCAGCCTGTGGATTCATCAGATGGGAACAGTTCAAGCCCATTTTTGAGTTGAAGCTGAGGGAAGATGAAGACGAAAGGGAGCTCAAAGAGGCATTCCGTGTTCTTGACAAAAACAACAAAGGTGTCATAGCTGTAGAGGACTTAAGGTATAGTCATGCTGTTGCTACTGCTACTACTAGTGCTGTTATAACTACTGATATGCTACTATATCTACTAATATTTGCTACTATTACTACTAATGACATCAATGACATCAAATATCAATGACATACAATTAGAACAAGTTCAAGAATTCAAGTACTTAGGATGCATATTTACAGAAGATGGAAGACTCGATAAAGAGAAACAGGCTAGAGTTCAAAAAGCCAATGCAGTCAACTACCAACTGGCCCCACTTCTTTGTCATCCAAAGATCTCGTTACCAGCCAAACAATGGATGATCAACAGCATTTTCATCCCTACGTTATGTTATCAGTGCCAAACGTGGACAATGAACAAATCACATATGCAAAAAATAACTACGAGTGAAATGCGATGTCTACGAAGAGTCACCAACAATACACGAAGAGACAGAGTCACAAACGACAGCATTAGAGACAAAGTTGGAACAAGAGCATGCATGAAACATATTGAAAGACAGAGAATGAAGTGGTTTGGCCATTTAGTAAGAATGCAACCGGATCAGATTGCCTATAAGGCCTTTTATAGTAGAACATCAGGAAAAAAGGCCAGAGGAAGACCCAGGAAAAAATGGATAGATGGGGTAGCTGAATACGGCCAGAAGATCCAGAAAACTGTCACTCAAATCACGCGAGAGGCACACAACAAATATTTTAAACCACAACACTGGGCTGCAACCCGGTAAAAGTGAAGAAGACAATAGATAGATAGACTACTAATGATAGAACTGCTTCTTCTGCTATAACAACAGCAGCTACTATTTGTAATTAATTCATATCCCTTTTTCATAAGTGTATTTATTATTAGTTAGTTGTGTTTCCTTTACAGGACGTTGCAGAACCAACACCAGCAGTTTTTGACTATTGCGATTTTTTTCTAGTGAAATTTTATGTTCAGTAGTTTACCATTGCCCCTGAACTTTCAATTCTCAGTACCCCTGTCAAAACCAACACAAGGCGGTCTGGTGCCAATTTGTCTGCAGCTGGGATTGACCCAGAACCTCAGCATAATAAGTGATAGATTACTTTAGTTATTACTACTCCCATGATCATGTATCTTTTGCTCTTTCTCTTCTTTAGATACAAACATGTCTGTGTCAAATAGTGAGTCCAACTCTGAATGATAGTTTCAAGATCAACCACACTCTCAGTCATTTAAAAGTTTATCTGCCCCATAGACTTTCATGGTCAAGATCGTTAGTGTTGCTGTTGAGTGTGGTGTATAATTCCCTGTTCGATTCCAGCTGCAGGCGTATGGCAGCAGAAAGCAGTGGTAAAAGTACTGAACGGAAAAGTGCCAGGTAAAAAAAATAAACAGCCAAAACAATGCTGAGGTTGGTTCTGCTACATCCTGTACAGAATAGGCAACTAATTTTTTGAACCACAACCAGGTGGAAAATACTGTAAGTAAAGAACTCATTATAAGACTAAAAGGTAAACGGTTTTTGAAGCATAATATTATTGACTAATAAGCAGGCAAAGAGTATTATTATCAAAATAAAAGTATGAAAATTTTTACTTCTTAGAAAATGTCCAGGTATCAGTCTTTATGCACAATCAACCATATAAACAATCTTATGAAACATAATTGTTTATTTGTGGGGTTTACAATGGATGACCACCGTGTTTTCAAGCGAGGGTTGGATCCACTGCACACTAATGGCTTCTGCATTCAGAAATACAGACAATTCTATCTTTCTCAAGTGTGTTTAGTAAAGCAGTTTTGTGGAAACACTCACATCTACCATGTTCGGTTTGACTAATATTCAACAGAACCAATGTTATAAAAAAAAATTTTTTAGAGCTAGGTCTCAATGGTGAAGATGTCAAAAAGTTTAACTTGCATTCTACAGTTTCATAAATTAGATTTTGTTTCATTAACTGCATCAATCTGTTCACTGGTCCAGTATTTACAGAGACCCTTTAGAGACTACACTGGAGCTGCTGAGATCATGCTTTGTGCAACACTCTTGGTAGGAGGCTAGCCATCCTGTAGAGTAAGACCGAGCCATGTGGGATCAAACCCAGCACACTAAAGTTGAACCGCACTGTTATAAACTCAGTTTTCAAAGTCTCACTAACTATGCACACAGACCGGTCTAGCATTCAGCTCTTTGTCTTCCAGCCAGCAATTGTAATTTATATTTGGTGTAGCTGATATTTTCTTGTTCAAAAGACATAATGTGAATATTTAGGTAGAAAGACAAAACCATGGTATGACAAAAGCATACTTTCACATATGCATCCATAGGTGGATTCTCAGGTCCCTTGGAGACGATCTGACAGATGATGAAATCGAAGATATGATCAACGAGACTGACACAGATGGAAGCGGCACAGTAGATTACGAAGGTATAGATCAACTTTTTTAGTTTCAGTTTAACAGTGTGTGTTTCCTGTGTGGGTTCCGGTCACCCACTGTAAGGAAGCCGAGAATAGACTCACTGACTCCTCTGCAAGCATATTGTAGGAGTTGACTAACTGGGGGTTTTCTTCAAAGTCGAAGTGCGTCTGCCTGAGAGGCAAGGGACCAGCAATTTGTATACAAATAAGTCAGACCTGTAAAACCTATCTGCACACAACACTCAGGTGCTGGAACAAGCCCAGACGTGGATAAACAACCAGAACTTGCCGCCGGATTGTACAGCCGGGGCACATGAAGAAGAAGAAGAATAGTATGTCTGCCAGTGTGTCTAAATTTGTCTGTCTGCCCATATTTATATCATATCATATATAAATTATATGCCTGTGTGTGCCCAGCTGTGTCTTGTAGTGTCTGTCTGTCTTCGTTTGCCTGTCTGTCTTGACTGCTGTGTGTGTGTGTGTGTGTGTGTGTGTGTGGTGGGGGGGAGAGGGGGGGGGGGTGTCTGTGTATATAAACTTGCATACGAATGATTGATTTGTTGACAGCCACATTTATGTACAGATTTTACTCATAAATATGATTGTTTCTTTGGTGATTTCCATGTATGTTTCAAACATTATATATGACTGACTGTTTTGTTAATGGCTGTGTGTATGTGTGATGATATGCTTGACTGATTGTTCCATTGATTATCGTGTTTTTTCTTAAAGCTACACATGTCTGACTAATTGATTATCAAGTTTGTGTGAAAAAATGTACTTTACTGATTTGTTTTTGGTTTTGGTTAACAGTATGTCTGAAAAAAAAGGACATGACTGATTGATCTTTTGCTTATCATATTTGGTGAAATCTTGCACATGACTGATTGTTCTGTTAGCAGCCTATGTGTGTGTGAAAGTTACACATGACTGACTGTTTTGCTGATTGCTGTGTTTGTAAGAAAGCTGACTCATGAGATTGTTTTGTCAATAGTTGTTGTGTATGTGGGAAAGTTCACATGACTGATTGGTTTTGAGATTGTCCTGTGTTTGTTAAAATTTGCCCATGACTTTGCTTTTGTGTTGCAGAATTCAGGAACTTGATGTGCTCATAAAGTGGAGACCTTAGGATGAACCTTAACCCTTCTGTAACCTTGACCCTTATGATTTTATCTAAACAAATGTTAGTGTCTTTTAAAGGTTATTTAAGCAAGAAAAAATGGAGGGTAAAAAGAAGAAAACTGGTTTCTAGAACTTTCTGCCACGCTACATTTCGCTCCAGTCCAAATTTTAGGGATAGCTGCTTATTTAATATAGGCCAAATCAGTCAGTAAACAGCAAACAGCAAATAGAATATGGGACAAACAAATCTATTGACCATCTGTTACTGTAGGGCAGAAAACAAGGGAAAGTTATCACAAACACAAGAAGACATGGTGACCAATTATATCTGTCAAGACAATAAAGAAAAAGCAAATCTAAAGAACAACAATTTATATCATAAATCGGACTGTCACCCGACAATTACACAGATTAATAGAAAAGGTTGTGAGTATGTATGGAGTTGATGACTAAAATTTTGTTTCATAAAGTACCAGAGGTCTAACTTTTTAGTTAATCTTATTAGGTTCACATTTGAAATTTCATTTAGTGTCCAAAACTTTTGAACCCAGCAGAATAATCTTTAGTCATAAAACTGTCATGATTTAGGAACTCCAAAGTACATGAATTGTTAATTTATGAGTTTATTTGGTGCCTCAGACCTTACATATTTATTACTAAACATATTACTTTGGTGCCATAAGCATTACAAATGTGTTACTGCATACCTGTTTCAATGTCATATACCCGTCACTTATTATTTTTGTTGTTGTTGCTTACTTGGTATCATACTCATTGCAAATCTGTTACTTTATAATTTGGTTCAAAGTTATAAAGAGTGTGCATTTATTATTTTCAGGATTATTTCATTTGAGTACAATCCATAAATTTACTTCTTTATAATTTGAGTGTTTTAAAAAGTTGGTACATTTATACATATATAAATTTATTTTGGGTTGCAAAAAAAGTGAAAAGCAATGACAAAGCACCATTTTTAAAAAAGTCCACACAGATGTACTGCTGTTAGACGCCAGTACCCGATCTCTGTCGACCAATCAGCACGCAAATGGTGGCATGGTCACTATCAGATTGGTCATCATTACTTCCAATACATTACTTTAAAACCCATTTGACCCTAGAATTATAAATTTGACCCCCCTTCCCATTCCCCCACACTCCCATTTTTTTTGGTTTTCACAAAACACTGATTGAAAAGACCATTTCAAAAGTTACAATTCATAATTTGTATTATTATTATTTTTTCATTAGGTTTTAAAAGGGTCTTTGGCGTATTGTGTTTGTGGTTTACAGCTAGGCTGCAACATCAGCTCTTTTTGGCTCGACACATAAGATTTCAGCCAACTCTAATTACAGACCTTTTACAACTTGTTTGTTAAGGGGCACAGCACCCTACCCTATCTTTTTTGCCCGTTGAATGGACCTCGGACCCATACAGGGAGTTTAAATACATTATTCTATAAATCGGATTTAACAAGACCCGGTATTGATTCTAAATATAGTTCGGGGGGGGGGGGGGGGGGGGGGGGGGGGGGGGGGGGTAGAGGAACAGACACACTGATTTCTTAACAACTTGGTCATACTAAGTTGACTCATTTGGGGTTTCTTTCTAAGTCAGAGTACATCTGACCCAGAGTCAAGGAACCAACAGTCTGCATAAAAATAAGCCAGATCTGTAAAATATATGTACATGCAAAACTAAACTTTTGGAATGTGACTAAGTCCAGAACTTAATGAACAATCAGAATTTTCTGTTGAAGTTAACAACTGGTGAACTTGAAATAACCGAAGAAGAAGAAGAAGCAGAGGAGAAGAAGAAGAAGAAAAAAGAAGAAGAAGAAGAAGAAGAAGAAGAAGAAGAAGAAGAAGAAGAAAAAGAAGAAGTTACTTTTGTGTGTGTGGCAATTACAGCACAGATGAGTTCAGTGACACTTCCTAAAGATGTTTTTATTATTTGATCTGTAACAATATAGCCAAAACTATATAAATTTATATCTTTATAGATGTATCAAGAGTGATTATGTTTGTTTTCATCTGAAATCATGTGAGTGAAATTCATTTTTTTTATTTTATCTGATTTGTGGAATGAAAGCTGCTGCTAATTTTACTTTGTGTTGTCAGCCACAACTCCTTTCTCTCAAATTGCATGATTGTGTTGAAATACACAGTAATACAAAATAAAAAATGCAAATTTTTGTTTTAAATGGCAAACAATTCATCCCTCACAATATGTCAGTTTGTGAGTGTTATCACAATGAAACAGTTATTTCAATGTTAGTCTCCCCAGACCCGCGTAACAACACACTAGCTCACTTCTGATTGGTAGTTCCTGAGCCAAGTAACCTTTGCACTAGGTTACGGGGTGTTCCACAATGCCATTGATATCACATATTGTATATTTCAGCATGCCATGTTGCTTTTAACACTCCAAAAACATGGAGAAACTGGGTCTAACACCCCCCCCCCCCTTCCCCACCAGAGAGTGCTGCAACCTAT